ACTTTTTAGATATTTAGACATATTAAGTAGATGTTTATAATATCCACCTGACATTTTATCATATGACTTCTGTAGTTAGTTATGAGTCTTTGAAGCATGCTCACAAAGGTTCTTTTGTTGATATCATTTTCATACTGGTCAAAACTTTTTTTTGCTTTGACCAGCTTTGGAGGATATATTTTCAAAGAATTATTAAAAAATAACACAGAAATTCACTTTCTAGCTCATCTAGCCCCAATCATCATGTCAGGCATTGTCATTACTAAAAAACATTAAATGTCTTCTAAACTGAGAAACAATTTCCACATTTAACCGAAATCTTTTACTTATGATACTGACAATCCCCCACAAAGTAATATAAATAGAACCATACAAATAGTAAGCAAATACATGTTCTCAGATACCATCTCCCATATAAAAAAAATCACATTAAGAAAAAAATGAACCTATTATGTGTTCCTCTCCTAGCTACAAAATGTATCCAAAATCAAAGATGTGGAACATATATATATTCTATCATAATCATTTGGTAATTAATGCAATTAGTATCTCTTCCATGCCCGTGTTGAACATAAAAAACTAAATATTACATAAACAACACCCCTAATGCTCATGTTGGTTGTCATTGTGCAACACAGTTAATACATAGAAAACATAAAACATAGAACTCCTTTTGTCATATAAAACACTGTCAAACATCCAATCATACTATCCACACTGATCTGTGTCCACACTTGTGATTATTGTAAAATATTAATTACGTTTTTTGTGAGATGCAAGGATTTAAAATCCTTATGAATTGAAACCACGCAAGTATTTTTTCATTCACGACCGTTTAAAATTCAGATATTTAGCTAACTTTGAGCACGCATCCCTGCTCATTGGTACTCATACGTTACATATAATTTTCATAAATGTAATGACTGATCAAACCTGTGAGACATAATGCACGTATACATTACAATTTTAATTATATTCTATAATTATTAGGAATAAATTCAGTCTCAGTTTTACCTTAACAATGAATATTCTCTTAGTATGGTAGTATCTATTAATTAAATTAGATATTTTTTTACAGAAAAATTCTTTTGTTTGATTATCTTTCTGCATTCCGACCACTATGTTTCCGACCTTAGATAAATATTGTTAACATAAATATCGTTTACTTAATTTTCTTCATTCTTTCCGACATTTTCTCATGCTATAATTGAAATAATTAATATCAAATATCAAATGATGAACGTTCGGAAATAATCAGTTTATTCTGGGTCATTGTATATCAATAAACTATTCCCAGGTTTATTAAATACAACACACACAACGCGTAGAGGGACCGTCTGAAAGCATGAATTATATAATTACATTATCATTATACTTGATATTTAATAAATATTCACATTATTTTGTCAAAAGGCAAATAGGTTCTAACATATAAATGATTTTTAGAATGCAACCTAGTCTTTATTGTTTTACTTTCAAATCTACAAATGAACCGTTTGCCGGATTGTTGAAATATACATTGTCACGTTGTAGCCTATCCATAGAGGAACCGTATCAAAAACATAAATAACTACCTGTAAAAAAGATGGAAAATTTTCGAGACGTTCCGAGGATATCGAGTGGCCCATAGACACTTCCAAAACTCGCCAATATATAAGCGTGAACCCCTCAGGGGGTTCACGCAAAAAGTCCATCTTTCAGAAAAATACTGAAAATGAAAATATATTTTCAAAAGTGTGCTTCAGACATTATCTCTTAATCATAAAAAAGTTTCATAAAATTCTTTGAAGGTTTGACAAAGTATTTGATGTGACAAACTTTAACCCCAGACTGTATCCATTTGTTAAATGTAAAAAAACTAAGTCCATTTATCAGTATAGAACGATAAAATGAAAATAAATATTTTCAAAATTTGGCTCTGGATACTGTATTTTGGTCATGAACAAGCTTTTGTCCAAATTTCATTGACTTCCATGAAGGTTTAACAAAGATATTGATGACACAAAAACTTTAACCTTAGACTGAATATGAATGTTAACTGTAAAAAAAACTAAGTCCATTTATCAGTAAAATACGGAAAAATGAAAATAAATATTTTCAAAATTTTGCTCTGGATACTGTATTTTAGTCATAAATAAGCTTCTGTCCAAATTTCATCCAATTCCATGTAGGTTTGACAAAGTTATTGATTTCCAAAAAAACTTTAACAACAGACTGAACCTAAATGTTCACGCCGCCGACGCCGACGAAGAAATATAGGATCGCTATGTCTTGCTTTTGCGAAACAAAATTCGCATGCTCGACAAAAAATTAAAAGTATTGAAACGTGTTGGGGGGAGGGGGTGAAATTTTAATGTCTTTGGAAGGAGGTCTTGAATTTATTTTCCTTCTTCAAGGTCGGGACTTAAAAAAATAAGAGAAATTCAGATGTTTCCCCCTCGGCTTTTACGGTAAGAGGATTTGAAACTGGATTTGATATAAGGAGCGTGGTGATACATTTTATCGAAATATGTAGAGAAAATCACACAAAATGCATATATACTCTTGATTATAAAGGATTACGAACTAACAGTCTGATAGCGAGTTTATTACTCTAGTGACCGAGTCTGAAAAGCTTCAAGATGACCCCCCTCTTGGTATGAGTTTACCACCTTATTATATTGCATAGACGTTGGGAGAGGTCGTTCACTTATTAAAGTTGAATACCAAATACATTTTTCAAGTAAAAGAGAAGCGGAAAATACCAAAAGGAGTAGAAAACAAACTGACAACGCCATCGCAAAAAAAGAACAAACAACCAAAAGACAAACAACATTCTACAAAACAAAACATAGAAAACCAAACACTGAACAACACCAACCCCATAAAAAAACCGTTATGATCTCAGAAGCTAAGAAGGACACCCGTCGTGTTGCTTATGTCGGTATATCACATTCGAGGAAAAGAGGATTGGAATGTGGTTACGACAATTGGAACATATCCGTCGTCATCTGTGGGACAGATATTCCATAACGGTCAACCAACTCGAGATGGCGTCCGTAAAATTTTCGAAAGGATGCCATCAACTTCACCACTTGGAAGCCTTGCTTTTATAGCTTCCTTTTTAAAGAATTCATCAAGATGGTCCTACTGCATTACTTGTAGGCAAAACAATTGGAAATTCAAACCATGTAAGTCATGTACTACATTTTATGCATGGATGCGGGGTATTTTATTTTATTCTACAGGCTAAACAGTTATACATGATATAAACAGATGTTTCAGTTAAAGAAAAGAAAAGAAAAAAAAATCGAAACTGGAAGTCTTTGTTGTGGTTTTAGAAATTAATAATTAGAACACAAATAAAGAGTTGCGACTCATTTCACCAAAACATTTTACAATTAATTTTGATCCCCTAAAATGTTCAAAAAAATATATTTCTTCAAATATTATTATGATTTTTTTTAAAGTTATCATCATAGTGCTATTATTAAAATAAATTAGAATCATTGTTTTAATGTAAAAGACGAACGAATGCGTTCAATAGAAGATAAACATAACTTACTAGGATTGTCCTAAGAACATTCTGATAAGGACAGGGCTTTCCGACTAAAGTCCAACCAGAGACAAAGGAAACACTTTGTTGTAACGAATACAAAGTAAGACATTCGTTTACAAGAGAAAGTGTCGAAATAGGTTCATAGTCATGCGCTGCAAAAATTACAGAGCTACTTAACGTGGTACAATACCGAGGGGGAACGTTCAGAACAGTCTCCGGGACAAGTTTGCACTTCCGCTGAGTGCAAAAGTTGTCACCTTAATTTTTGGAGTTAAGTCAAAATGAAGTTGATAACTTGGTTGGTATTGGTTCCCTGATATTTGTCCTAAAATATTTTGGCTCTAGCACCACTGTTGAAAAAGTTATGCCCCTTTTTTCAACAATTTCCTCAGAGGAAAAGTAGTTTTCCTCAAGGGAAATCAAATTTCCCTAAAGGAAAATGATTTTTCCTTAAGGGAAATTGTATTTTCCTCAAGGGAAAAAGATTTCCCTTAGGGAATTTGCTGCATTAATATTTCCTTTGAGGAAATTCTATTTCCTGTGAGGAAATTTGCGGCTTCAAATTTTCCTTTGAGGAAATTTTATTTCCTCTGAGGAAATTTGAGGCTTCAAATTTTCCTCTGAGGAAATTTGCAGCTTCAAATTTTCCTTGGAGGAAATACTTTTTCCTGTGAGGAAATTTTGTCAACTGCAATTTCCTTTGAGGAAATATTTAACAAACACTTTTCCTTGAGGGAAAATTCAATACCACAAATTTCCTCTAAGGAAAACATTGTTCTCCAAATTTCCTCTAAGGAAATTTCTGTACATCAACTTTCCCTGTAGGAAATGCTTTCTCCTATTTTTACTCATTGTAAATTTCTTCACTATACAAACAGTATGAACATAATGTTTACAAGACTTAATAAATGATACAAATGATATTTAAACTTTAATAAATTTTTGACTCAAAATTATCATGGCATACAAAAACAATATAGTGAGTCTGACTGTTTAGGTCAAGGTATTGTACATACTTTATATGACTTTAACTTTGATTTTTAAAATATTTTTTGTAGCAAAGTATTCTGTTTTCTTTGTTATTGTTTCAATTGTATACATTAATAAGCAACCATTTTGAATGTCATACCATTTGTGGAGTTCTTAAGAATGCGTTCATATTTGCAAATTAAATAATAAAATAAACACTTTTCTTGTAAATTTTAATTTTCCTCTGTTTCAGCTGCTGTGTACAGTTATTCAATTCACTACGTAAAAGTTCATAACATAAATTATTCCATTCACTAAACAATTTCCTTCAATTCTTAGAGAAAACATTTTTGCAATTTGTTCTTCGAAGATCTTCTTCAGTATATTTGATATGAGGGAGCGATGTAAATGAGTGGATAAAGCTGGTGTTCCTTTCAACAACAAAATACTATTTTTTTCTTCATTTCTCCCTTCTTTCGACGAATATATATAATATGTTGTTGCATTTATACAATTGTGTTTTTCTGCATCTATGATAGAACTCCATTTTGTTTATAGCCATTATCATGTGATTATGATGAAATTTCCTATTTCTTTTTTGCAGGAAAGCACACATTCCATTTCACATTAATCCAATTAGCGCACCATGTAGATAGATATCAAATTTCAGTTTCCTCTTCAGTATTGACCTATTGATCATGAAAACCAAGATGTCTGATCACCTATAAATACACAAAATAAACAAATAAAATGTTATAAATGGAGAGAGAAACAGCAATAAAAAAGCTTATTTTGTTATGTTATGAACATTTTAAGAATATTTCCTTTCTTACTTGCATGACTTGTGAGTTCTCTTAATTCCGTGCTTTTTGTCTATGGGTTTTTATATTACCCCGGTAGTTGATTTTGTGCATTTTATCAATCTTTCGAGTTGAGGCAATTGCAACGGTTATTTTTACAGTTTGTTCTTTATATGTTGAGCTGTTAAACCACTGTCCAAGGTTAAGGTAGGGTTGAGTGCTCACAAACCTGATTTTTTTTATTACATGTATTAGTTTTTATTGATTTTTAACTAGCTGTCAGTAGCTGTGAGTACTAACAGATCTTTGTGTCTTTTCATTAAGAGAAAGGTATAAATTTCCTGCTTAGTCCGGACTGTTTATTTTTTTGCAGGAAATCTACAGGTACGTCATTTGTTGTCTGGTGAAGAGTTGTCTTATTGGCAATCATGCCACATCTTCTTATTTTTATATAACCTTGCCATATTCTGATTGTGCCTGTCCCAAGTTCGGAGCCTGTAGTTTATTCTGACACTCAAATTTAGTGGTTGTAGTTGTTTCATATCTGTCATATTTATTTTTTTTTAATTTGTTTTGTTATAAACTAGGCAATTAGTTCTACAGTTGGGATTATTTCAATTTTTCGTCTGAGGGCCTTTTATAGCTGACTACTTTGACAATAGGGTATGGACTTTCTCATTATTGAAGGCCGTCACTGGCCTATAATTGCTTTCTTAGAGCCATGATCAATAGTTTTCATATTTAATATGCCACATCTTTTTATTTTTATAATAATCATGATAATCATCTTTCAAGGGCAATAACTTTTATAAAAGTGGCCTTATGAGTCTTATCGAGCATCACTGATAAGTGTTTTGTAGACGAAACGCGCGTCTGGTGTAAATACAAAATTTAATCCTGGTATCTATGATGAGTTTACTTACCATTTAGGTTTTGTTGACTTCTGCAAATTTTAAATTGCCTATCATTTCTGCTGTTTATAATTTCTCTGCATCTTCTATAGTTCTTGTCCTACACATAAAAAGAGTAAAAATTATTATTTAATGACATCTTGCATCAATAATTATTTTTCTGTTTAATGTATATATCAATACGTGTTTAATAAAAAGCTGTACCATGAGTGCTTGATAAGCTTGTTGCCCTTTTAGCTTGGGTTTATGCTTTAAATGAATTTTAATGATCAACTACATTATAGAAAAACTCTGAGCACTGCGCAACTAAGACCCCCCCCCCCCCCCTACAAAAAACAAAACTACAGGCTCTAAAGAGCCTGTGTCGCTCACCTGACTCTATTTGGGTTTTTGAAATCATATAAAAAAGATAAAAATCATAACAGATACTTTAATAATGATTGAGGCCATATTTGGTTTAATATTGTCCTACTCCGCTGGCGGCCGTCTTGGATGATGCATCAGCTACAGAGTAACAACACTTGGTCAACACCTCATAAGGAACATTCATGCTATGTTTGGTTTCATTCCATTCAGTGGTTCTCTAAAAGAAGACATTTGTATGTATTTCCTATAGGGTCCTATCTTAAACTAAGTCCCCCACTGCCGGCCATCTTGGATGATAGATCGGCAACAAAGTAACAACTCTTGGTCAGCACCTCATAAGGAATTCAGTGGTTCTCTAGAAGTTCAGAATGTAAAAAGTTAACAACGGCAATGGACGACGACGGACGCCAAGTGATGAGAAAAGCTCACTTGGCCTTTCGAGCCAGATGAGCTAATAAACTGCTTCGCTAAGCGCAGCTGGATACGCCCGCAGAGGTCCAACCCTGACAGTTGAGGCAAAAATGGACACAATATTCAAGCTTGATACAGGTCTGAATTTGGATTGTAATCAAATATTTGACATATTAAAGGTTTCTGAATAAATGTAGTCAAAGAACTTGAAATTGGTTATATGAATTGAATTTATATTCAATTAAAGATTTCTTGCTGTTGTGCAATACACTGTGCTGTTGCGCAATACTAAGTTAATCTGTTGTCAGACTATAAACAAATAAAGTTCAATTTCTTCTCAATGTCATATTTGAAATTTATGAAAATCAGTACGGAGATTACATCAATAGCTATAAATAATTCATGATAGTTTCATGAGAACTGATGAAAGCATTTTTGAGTTAATGTAGAAAAAATGGAAAATCCCCCCCTTTTTTAATGAATAAAACCCTATAACTCAGAAATATAAAATCTGAAATTTATAAAATTCTAAAGGGACCTTACATCAACAGATATAAACAATTCACCAAAGTTTCATGAGAACTGCTGAAAGCATTTTTTAGTTATTGTCTGAAAACTGGAAAATCCCCCTTTTTTTTTTAATAATACCCTGTAACTTGGAAATGTAAAATCTAAAATTCATAAAAATCAAAAGGGAGCTCATGTCAATAGATATGAACAATTCACCAAAATTTCTTGCAAGTTGGTGAAAGCATTCTTGAGTTATTGTTGGAAAACTGGAAAATCCCCCCCTTTTTTAATGAATAAAACCCCAAAACTCGGAAACGGTAAATCTGAAATTTATAAAAAATGAAAGGGAGCTCACGTCAATAGATATAAACAATTCAATAAAGTTTCATGCATATTGGTTAAAGCGTTTTTGAGTTAATGTCCGACATGTTGACGACGGACGGACGGACAGACGGTCAACGGTATACCATAATACGTCCTGTAAACGGGCGTATAAAAAAGGACATGCACACAGAGTGGTATTCATTGAAACAAAACATGAAAATAATTTGGCTCCATTTTAAGGGATATTGCAAGTGTATATACATTTTGTAAGTTTAAGGCCGTGATTTTTGAACAAATACAATTCTAAAACCTTCCAAAGTGTGAAAATGGACAATTTTAAACAATTTTCCAACAACTAAAATTCCATTACTCTGCATCTTATATAAAAATAAATAGGGGATGATACTCCGGCTTGCATATCATATAAAGTTATAAAGGAAGATAACTGAAGAACGGTAAAATTTATACTACTAAAATTATAACTTGATCTGATTTTGTGATAAAAAATATTGCGTTAAAGTTTAATAAAATTTGGTTGAGGCAAACTTAATTTAGAGGACGGAAACGTAAAATTCATCATTTTTTCCATCTGTAAAGGACATAACTCTAGAACAGACTGAGTCAGTAAAAGTGACACCACCAAAATTCAAACTGTTTTTTGTGGTAATAAGCATTGTGTGCAAGTTTCATAACATTTGGTTGAGGCAAACTAAAGTTAAAGATAGAGAGCCGGAAACCAAAAATTCAGCAATTTTTCCATTTGTAAAGGGGCATAACTCTAGAACGGTAACACTGACACCACCAAAATTCACACTTGATCTGAGTATTGTGGTAATAAGCTTTTGTAAAAGTTTTATAACATTTGGTTGAGGCAAACTAAATTAGAGAACAAAAACCAATGACTTTGGGACAGACGGACAGACGGACAGACGGTCAAGGGTTGACCCACTATCAAATGACTATGGGTCATAAAAATGTAAAGGGAGTTTATGTCAATATATAAAATCAATTCACCAAAGTTTCATAAAAATTGGTGAAAGCATTCTTGAGACTATCCAACGTCTCAATATACAATAAAAACTTAAATCAGATTTTTTTTTTTAAATTGAAAGGGAAATTATCATGATTATGTTAATTGGCAATATTAATAAATGCATGCAACAATTTCTGAAATTTACAGTATATAGGCTTTTAACCCCACCATATTTTTGCACCTGTCCCAAGTCAGGAGCCTATATGTGGCATTTGTCAGTTTTGTATGATTTTTAATTTTAGTTTCTTTTATATATTTCGGAGTTTAGTATGACGTCCATTATCACTGAACTAGTATACATTTTTGTTAAGGAGCCAGCTGAAGCACGCCTCAGGCTGTGGGATTTTCTCGCTGCATTGAAGTCACATTGGTGACCGACTGTTATCTGCTCTTTGGGCAGGTTGTTGTCTCTCTGACACATTCCCCATTTCTATTTTCAATTCTATTTTAAATTCAATTATAAATGTTAGGCTTCTTGTTGATTTGTTTTACATTTGTCATTTCGAGGCCTTTTATTATATTTACAGCTTTCTATATGCATAGGTGCTTGAGGACAGGATCCTGTTTTGCTCATTGTTGATGGTCGTACGGTTATCTATAGCTCAGCGAGGCAACATCACAACTGTTTCCAAGTTTGTGAAGTCAGAGGACTATATTCATCTTTCCGACTTTCAGATCATTTGTTGATTTTTCATGAATATGTACCATTCCAATATGAAATAGCTAAATCATGTATATATCTTAAAAAAAACCTTTAAACTAGGATACTCATTTGGGGAACTAATGATTTGTTGGTTTTTCCCTAGTCCAAATAATTATGACGTCTGGCAAGGCTATTTTTTTTTCTGGGACGCCTAAATAGCCTTGCAAGACGTCATAATTATTTGGACTAGGTTTTCCCCGCGATCGACATCGTCCTGTGGACGAAACGAGTTTGGCGCATTAACAAAAAGATCATGTCTGTAGTGACAAGTTAGTGTGTGTGCTTACCAATATTTGAATTTTATGAGCCTTCTTTTTGAATATTTTTTTCATTTTTTGGTACAATACTGACGTCGAGTGCTGTTGTTGTTGTGCTGTTTATTTTTTACAAAAGCGATCAAGTAATGCAGGGGAAGGAAACTTACTTAAAAGACCAAAATGAGTCGCAACTAATGGTACATAAATATTTTACTATGCAGTCAGTATCCTGATATACATGTATATACTCTTAGACTCATTTCACAGAAAAATCGTACAAGTGAAAATACTCGTTAGTCATGAACATTTTAGATCACTTAAAATTTAGATTTTATAACTTAAAAATTACGAAAGATGATAATTTGTCAAATAAGCCCTTGTAACCAGGTGCTGCATTTTTTAGCACGTGTCAAAAAACAGTTAAAAGTGCCGGGATCTGACAGAGCTTTCAAGAGCTATTTCTGTTACTGTGAGTTTATTATATATTTATCACAAAAAGCTAATGCTAATTTCTTTTCATTTAATATGGGTCTATATGAAGCCCCCCACCCCTCCTCCAGCTTATCTGATTAATTTACGATCACTCTGAGTAAAGAAAGTAAGTCACAATTGCTTATATAAGGTATTTTAAATTCTGGTTGATAGTTGTCTCATCACCAATCATACTACATCTCCTTATTTTTTTTACAATAAAGCTATATTTAGATGCGGTATAGTGAGTGATGAATGTGTAAACATGCAGCATGCTTGTAAATAATTGTTAAAATACAGCACAAAAGATGCATAATATATCAAACTCGAGTCAACGCCATGTCAAAAACTAAAAAAACAACGACCAAATGACAAATAGTCTATAAAAACAACTATAGCATACCAAAATATATAATTTGTAAAGACTTGCATGCAAATAGGCCTATACAGTAGCTCTATGTTCTTATAGATCTCATAACATTACGATTAAAAGTCAGATTATGTGTGTGTAAGTTTCAACGAGACACGTCCTAATCAGGTAAAATCCAAAATAACAATTTACAAATTCAGATCTACTGCCTGTTGTATATTGCTTACATGATTGCATATTGCCAAACGAATAAATATGTCTGGTACGGGATGGCGGCTTCGAAGCGGAGACAAAAAGACCCAGATAAATGAAAGTGTACTGAGAATTTTTGTTGTGGAGAATTTTTTTTTAAAGAACTAGATTCATATCTCAGAATTTGAATATAGCATCTCGTTTTCTTTAGATAAATTGTTAGCTATTACTGACTATAGTAATTATACCCCCTTATAAGTATTCGCAAAACATGAAGTTAATGATCAATGAATATGAAAACATTTTATAAAGTATAAATATTGGTAAACGGACAGCAAGTCATAGGACTATTATAGTTCGAATAAATTAGTTTACAATAACTGTTGAAAGGTTATGAGAAAAAACTCTGGATGAATTTATTTTTATTAGAATGATTTATTTTACAGTAAAGGCTTCATATTTTTAATCAGTTATTTGTAAAAGAAAGGTGACATGTTTAACACCATGGAGCCAGTTAATTAACAAATTACTGATGGATTTTTTTCTTTACAATCATTGATCATTATTAATATTTGAGAATAACTTTTGTTTACAATTCGTTTTCATAAATAATGGTTCAAGAAAAAAACTTTTTGAAAATTAGTCTGTTAGTTTCCAAAGAAAAAAATATCTTAAAAACTGAACTGTGAGTTTTCAATCGTTACGTTTTGTTATACGTTTTTAGTGTTAATCTCAGCAAAGACAAATTTGGTGATAAAAATCGATTTGTTGGTCTTTAAAAAAAAACATACGTCATAATGTAATCTTCATCTGGAGATATTCATTCCCTACTGTAAAATATTGAGTTTTTGGTTGATTAATGTCGGGTGTGTCTGACGTACCGAATAATATATGATAGGTACATGTAGGTCTTGTAATTGAAACCGCCCGTGATACGGTCGGAAAATTTCGACTGCCAACGAAAAAGGATGGACAGAAAATTGGCCTAATACCAGGCTACTTATAGTCCACTTGAAGAGTTGTTGCAAGGATTCAGCGTCCCCATTCGGACGTGTCTGAGCACAACCCAATGGACGATCCACTATCATTACTGCTAAGGATTTATTGCCGGTCAGAAGAAGACCTGTAACGACGCTATTTCTATAGTTACTCTAGTTCGCTAACGAATTCGCTTCTTGTTCCATTGAATATACAGGAAAGAGTTATCTAATATATATGTATATATATATATATATATATATATATACACGTCTAAATTGAAAACAACGTTCAAACCTATGATTGCGTTGGATAAAAACCGCAATTTTTATACGTGTGCATGTAAAACAAATTTCTTGGTAGAGGGGTCTAAATACAGCACAAACAACATTTTCCAAAAGACCAAAAAGTGAAAAAGTATATTTTAACAAAACGCATTTGACTAACAGATCGAACAACTAATGTTCTTAAACCCTGCTGACTGCCATTGGCTATTGCCAAATAAATTGATCACCAGATGTAAAAAATGGATCTTACATATTAATCAAATACCAAACAGAAAACAATAAACTTACGGAAAAGATGGTATACCGCAAACATGAGGTGCAAAAATTTGTACACCATATCAGGATTTCGACATTTAATGTCTCTTCAGTGATGTTAGGGATCGAAACGGTATTTGGAAGGCCATATAATATATATAGGGGAAAAAAATAAGACTGAAAATGCACCAAATATTTATATTCAATATGAATATTCACATTTTGTCTATTACAACAACAAGTTGTTCAAAAATTGTTGTAATAGACAAAATGTGAATATTCATATTGAATATAAATATTTGGTGCATTTTAAGCCTTATTTTTTTCCCTATTTTATGCACAGCATGGACAAAATTTAAAACTTTTTAATATATATATATATTTTTCTTGAACTACTATAAATAAAGTAGTTCATTTTAAAATGTATTCTTTAAAGGTTAAGAAAACAATAAGTTAAAATAGCTGGTACATACATGGCTTCATGGCTAATACCAAAAAGGTATAGCCAATTTCCCGTTTATTTTTTTTTCGTTGTTTGGTTCACATGTTCAAATTTAATAAATTGATGAATTTAATAATTTATTGATATCCTAAATCTTTGTTAATATATTTACTTCGGTAGAAAAGAAAGTGAATCTTCTCATCGGGACTTTAATTAATCTGCATATCTATTATCTATTTTGGGATTGAAAAAAATATCTTTAAAAAATGCGGTTTCGAGCCTATTTCTTCATTTTAATTTGGTTACACGTTCAGCAATAACTGATACAAATATGATATATTACCAATGATAAGGCCATATATTTGAAGCTGTTCAAAATTTTGTACATTATAGCTGGGACTATTATACTAAAAAAATAGTTAGTATAATAGTCCCAGATTATAGGTACGTGTATCAGATTGGACATTTTTTTTTATTGTTCTATATAAATAATCTTACTATAAGTTATCTCAGGTCTAAACAAAATGTTACTATGAGTTTTCTAATGAGTTTGGTTTGATAATTTTTTGTTTAATTCAGTTAAAAGTTTGCTTTTTTTACACGAGAAGGTCTGCTTAAAAGTTTATGATGATCTCTTTTTTTTTCAGCATAACAAACGGATACTCTTTAATGTACACTAGGTGGACTTTCCTCTATTCCGATGAAGGCAGTGCACGTCTTTCATTTAAAAGATTAAATCGTTGTTTTGCAACAGACGGCGGCACATCGGGCATTGACTTACCATTTTATAATTTGTAACAATTATGATTAACCATATATTTATGAGTTATAACAAAATTATTTTTTATACATCTTTATTTAAGATGATCGAGATTTGAGAATGATATGAAAATAATAAAATATATATTACAAAAAAAAAAGTTATCTCAGGTCTAGTTATCTAGTATAAAATATATTCACTGGAAATAAGCCCTTTAAAACACAAATCCCCGTTTACTCATTACGAAGTTTATTTGCTAGTGTTTTTTTAATCTTTTTTTTTAATGATTTTATTATATTATCTTTTTTGTGAAAATTTTGAGTGGTTGAACATGAAATGGACACCGATGCTACAAAGAAAATTTGTTTAATGTCATCTGTTGCAATATATACTAAGTATTACACGTGGACAGGATGTTCCCCAGAAAATTAAGGTATTCAAAATAAGTTATACACACCCCAAGGGTACACGCCACTGTCATATGGAAAATTACTGGGTCACCAGTAAACTGGTAATCAGCCATGCAACTAATCAGTTGACTGACCATGCAACTACAATTTAAAAAGTTTGTCGTTAGATCAAAATGAAATATTTATTTTAATTTAAAATTGAAGAACTAAAAGGATTTATCATAATTATGAAAGGAAATAATTCAACAAAATCGGATTATTTCCCAAAAGATTATATATGTTTTAAATTTTTTCCGGGGAAAATAGAAAACTGTATCAGAGACATATATATATAAAGGGTCCCATCAAGGATTTTATAGAAATCCTTGGTCTCATGAAATGGATCTCACACAGACATGCATAATTGAAATTTATACATTGATTGATTCTATGATTTCTTGAGAAATCAGAAGCGAAATATAACAAATATTTAGTTTTGATATTAAATTAAATTTACTTTTCCTCGCTATAATTCATTTGACATAACATTGAAGTGCACTCTCCCCCTCTTCAAGAATTGTATATTTATAAATCCTCGTCCTTTTTAAAATTACCACACTCTTTGTGATTACCGTTATGCTATTATGCTAACAGTAATTAACCCAGGACTTGATTTACATGTAATATCAGGGGCGATTCTAGCCAGGATAAAGGGGGTCTTAAAAAAAGACTCTTAATACATAGGCAGATCCAGGGGGGGGGGGGACGGGGCTGGCCCCCCCCCTTTGGTGGGAAAAATTTGGTTGATTATACAGTGAATCACTGAAGCATGACTGGAGCGGGTCCCCCTTAGATCAGTCATCCCCCCCCCCCCCCTTACAAAAAGTTCTGGATCCGCCACTGAAATATATGTCTCCATTAAATCAGAGACATATATGTCTCTGATTAAATGCAATGATCGTTCACAAAAAGGGGAATCAAACCCCCGGATCCCATCCCCCTTCGATCCGCCACTGATTGTGAATATAAAATATATAATTGTTACTTTTAAAAAAGTGATAGACTAGTACTAGCTCCGAGCACCTGTTTTGGGATATATACAGCTAATTAACCGTGAATAACTGCGAGATAATGAATAACACGTTGATAATTGTCTATTCTCTGCTAATTAATGTACCTGCAATTCACCCT